CTGATCCACACAAAAACAAAAATAATTGTTATCACCAATTAAAATACACTCTCCCAAATTTAATCGGTGACAATAGTAATAATAATAATGAAATAATAATGATTATGATTATGATAACGAAATAGCAATAATAATTAAATAATAAGAAAATAAGGTTTTCACTGATCACCAAATAATTTTTACATAAACACTTGCATCAATTATTGATTTTTTTATGTCAAAATTGTTATTTTGCCATTTATTTTTATTCGTTTATTAGTATCTATACTAGTTTCAAAAATAATTTTGAGCAATTATAACATGATGTTGACCCGGGTCAAACTCGGGTCAATTAAATCATGACCCGACCTGACCCGTTCGGGTCAACCCGACTCGTTTTGGAGCTCTAGTCATTGACGATTGATGTAATCTCGGTAAACTCCAGGGCCACGTGCTAACCCCCTGGAATTCTGTTGCATCATTGTATCATCGGACGTTGCAGGTCAGATTAGCCTTGTGCACACGAGGAACGTGTAAGAATGACTGTAAGTGTTCAAGGTAGCGTGCATGCTTCAACACTTGTCAAATTTCTGATAATCAAACATCACATATCGAATGTTTCTTCTAAAAGTCAGGTGTGCTGCCTTGACATCTTGTAATTATTTATATATTTAATATTAATAATATTGATATTGATTACGAAAAGCCAAATACCATCTTGATGAGAATCTTATAATTACCCAGCGAGATCTGCTCCGCGTTTTGATTTAAAAGACATATCAATTAAAAAAAAGTTATCTCTGTTTAGTTATTAACACGTCTTTAGAACCAATCATGCTAAACAACATCACTCATCTGTCAAAAATAAATTGTTTTCCAAAAAAAAAATCAATCGCGTCACAAAAAAAAAAAAATAGGGGTCCCATACATAGATAATCAGACGCGTTGTCGGTCGATCAAATTATATTAATATCTTTTTTAAAAAAAATGTCATATACGACTAAAAAAAGAAAACAAATAAATGTTCACGGCGAGGAACATATGTAAGTGTTTATTGTAAAAAATGGTGGTGGTGGTGGCTATTGCCACCACTCGACACTCTAGTTATTGTTAAAAGAATGGTGTTGTTACTCTAGCTAATATTATTAAAATAAATGCAAACTAATTATTAAATTTTCATTGATTTTGTACATTTTATATTGTTACAAACCCAGATCAATCCAGACATTAAGGCAAAAAAATACTAATAAAGTAAGCAATAAGAGTAATAAGCAAATCATATTCATCTCAAATGCAAACTTGACTGTTTCATATATATGTAATTTCCAACCAATAGGAAAATAAAAATATCGAGTCTTTCAAGTCTAGAAAGAAAAGAACAAAATCGGAAGAGACGTCAAGTATGAATCTCTTAATTCAAACGTTGAATTTTTGATATACTGTTTACAATTTAACTAATTTATACTAATTAAATGATCCTGTTTATTCATATACCCATTTTCATTTGTTTTGTACTGAATTAATTCTTTTATATCCATCCCATGCATATTATTAAAAATCAGGTAAGATTAATTTTCATGATAAATATAGTTAATTGTTTATACTATTAAAACTCTACTAAGCTTGGCATTTTCTTTACTTTTTTTCTGCAACAAGCATGGTCAGAAGAAGGAACGATTACTCTTTTTTGTTTAGTGAAAGGAGATGTACCTTCATATGCATTTGCTATTAAGATTGGTAAAAACAAAACTGCGAGCAAGCTCAAGAAGTTAATAAAAGCAGAATTGAGTAATCATTTTGCAAGAATTGATTATAATCAACTTAGACTTTGGAAAGTCAGAATTCTGGACAATAGCTATGAAAAATTGGCTAATCTCACCCTCCAAGACTGTGATGAACCCCTACCAACAAGAAGGATTGGAAAATATTTTATAGAAGAGCCTATTGAAGAGCACATTCATATAATTATTTTGCCACCAACATTTATGAGTACACAATATCAAGAAATAATGGAACAAAGAGAGGAATTAGGTGATTTATAGTACATATATAGGCTCTGATAACACACAATAAATTTTTATTTTATTATTATTATTACAATTAATTAATTAACATGTAATGCTGTGGTGTTCAATGGCAGTTGATCATCAAACATATGTTACATCAATATAACAAATTATTTTTTTAGTATCTTTATCATATATTTCAATACATTGTAAATGTTGACAACAAAATTCAACTAACAATATATTTTT